TATATATATATATAAAACTTCTTTTGAATCTCTCTTGTTTTAAACGTACTTCGTCATCTTGCTGAAACTTCATATGTGATATATGAGACTTTGTTTTGGTTAATACTTTTTCGATTTTGGGAGTATCAAAAGAAACACTAGAAACATAGTCATCAGGAGATAACCTATTATTTGGTATATCAACAAAGCATTTTGTAACGAATTTTTCCAATGTGCTCAATGATAATTTAGCCTATAAAACATGTCTTATGTTATACAAAAATATATTTAATAAGTAGTCAATGATTCACAATGAAATTTACATTGAGTTACCTGTATAGCTAATGTCATTTTGTGAGCATTATAATAGCGATTTCTGAATTTGTGCAATTCTTCGCATAATTTATTGTCATCCATATTGCTAAAGGTCACAAAACTGTCCTGAGCATACTCATTAACTGAATCGGTTTGCGTAGAGGACAGTTGCTCCTTCTCGTCACAAGGTACTAATTTATACTCTATATATGAATATGACATATAAAGACTGAAAGTTATTTTGATATGATATTATAATTTATATACCACATATGTTCTTTCGCTCCCGTGTAATGATATCTTTCGTCATCAAAGGTTTAATAAAGCCTTGAGCAAAACGATCAAGAGCCAAAAACAAATATTTTTCTTGAATAGTAAAGTAAAATGTTGTTTGTTCGCTATCTGTTGAGACGTCAACAAATCCACCACGTTTTTTGATGAATGTTTTAAAATTTGTTTCCTGTATGTAAGATATATACATTTACTCTCTGAAAAGAAAACTCTTCAGAGAATAAATATATTCTTTTTAATAAAATCTCACTCTAAAGAGTGAAAATTAAATCAATTTCGAAATAGTAACTCATTTTCAATGTTCAAGATCCGATTATATCAACAATACTTTCACTTTAAGCGAGACATAAAACTCTCTTTAAAGTCGAGAAAGTGGGAGAGATAGAGAGTTTTAAGCCTCGCTTAAAGTCAAAGTAACGTTGATGCAACCTAAGAGCAAGATTTTACTCTTTAGAATGAGATTCACTGTAAAAATGTAGACAATAATACGAATAAATGAAATTTTATACAAAAAATTGTGTATCATATTTTAGTACTTCTGAGTATTTTTCGGATCCCACGAAAACCATATGCTTGAATAAATTTGCTACGTCTTGAATGTCTGTTTCGCTGAAACATCCTACTCCCACACATAAGCTACATGCTGCCTATTTAAAAAAAATACACGCATATAAAGATTATGCGTTTCGCAGGTTTCCTCCGTATCCATTCTTGAAATGTGAACGTTTCATCAACCTTGCAGTCCACTTCATCAGGGCGAGGAGCAAGCTGATACAGTATCAGGCTGCTCCTCGTCCTGATGAAGTGGACTGCAAGATCCACGAAACGTTGGCATTCTAAGAATGGATCTGGACACGGAGGAAACTCGCGAAACGCATAATCTTTATATAGAAAACACACGTAGAAGCCTCAAAAATATTATAAAATATATGCATATGTACACATAACACGCATTACACCCAATACATACTGTGTAAATTATATTAAATGGAAATATCAACACAATCAATAGAATAACTCATACATAATTCAAATTAAATCACATATTTCGAAATAAAGCTTAAATAAAACTAATAATACATTCTTACATTAGTTCATGTAAAGATTCCTTTCATAATTTTATTATCTGTCTTTAATATTATAATATCAATAAATTTCTAAGGATGGCTTAAAAAATAATTTGGCACAAGTTATATATCCTAAAACGCAACTAATTGTCTTGTTTACCTTTTTTTCATCTCTCTCATCATTTTTATCTTGAAAAGCATCTGTTTTTAAATATATATCTGATATAAGCAAAGCTGTTAAATCATTTCTTAATCTGATGACCCTAAATTTAAGAGACAAAACAAACAATAATGAAATAAAGTCAGTGAAAATGTTGGTCATATAAAAAAATTACTCTTCCTTTGTATATGGTGGATTAATTGTAACATTTGTCTCAAAAGATTAACGTCATGATATTTTTCAGACTTAAAAAATTATTCTTTTTAAGCATGTTCCTTTGTGTTACCTATAATCCTTTTTGTCGTTTTCCGATTTGACGGGCGTCTCTAGATATTGAACTTGATCATCTTCAGATCGTCGCTCCATTTCTGCAGACAATATATTATATATATTGACGTGCACAGAAAATCACAGTAAAAAGGCTTGATCTGAAAAATTGTAATAGAATTTTGAAGATTAAAAGTTTTCAATTTTTTAGTGGACTTGGAGTAATTTTAACTGTACCCGACATTCGTTTTTCTTTCTTCGTGACACTCACCTTCAAAACCGTTAGATAATTTGTATATTATAACTAGACGCACGTACAAAGAATATAAACAATTGTAGATATGCTTACAACAATTGTATGCTTACTTATTTGTGTTATTTACGTAGAGGTTTAGGGCGGATATTCATAGTCGATTCTTTTATTTAAAACTATCTTAAGTAATTTTAAAATGTTAATAATCTAATTACAGAGCCTTTACATTAGCATTTTAAGTTACTTACAAAATATCTTTCTACGAAAAATTTTAATCGAAATATATGGTACATCGAACGTATATTATATTGAGTAAAATTTTTCTCGGAGAAGACATTTTAAAATGTTGTCTTAAGATATTATAATAGATATTATAATAGATATTATAATAAAATATTATATAAGACATATCGCTATAATAAATGATTTATGAATACAGTTTAACTTATAATTAATTATTTATCATTAAGCCATGCAGGAAAGGGATTGTTGTATGACCTGCACTAATGGTATATAAAAAAAGTTTTTTTTTTTTTAAAAAAATGCTAAACTAGAAAATAAGTGTTTCTTATAGATTTCGGGTCACTGAATTCGAACTGGTAAGACTTCTGATGAAAGTAAAAATAGGAGCGTAATCGAATGTGATGGAAGGATAATAGAAGCTTAAACGAAGCTTCTAGGAGACAAAAATTGAAACAATAGAACGCATAAAAAAAGTGTTTACACTTCTTTTACGTTCCATTGTTTCAATTTTTGCCACCTAGAAATTTCGTTTAAGCTGGTCATACGCATTTTCCGTAACTGTAACAGTAAGATTTTCGATCAATCGCGTTGCTCGATTGTTACGGTCATGATTACGCACAATCAAATCGTGCAACGCGATTGGTCAAAAACCTTGCTAAAACTGTTACTGTTACGGAAAGTGTGCGTGATCAGCTTTTATGCTTCTATTTCTCTCTCATTATATTCGACTTACTCCGATTTTTATTTTCACCGGGATCGTTTTACTATACCACATCCAATTTTTTATATAATTGAGGAAGATGATAGAAAATTTATAAAAATTGAAACATTTGGGAAATAGCAAAACTAAATATAACATTAAAATGCAATCACAAACTAATTTAAATATGTTTGATAAATTAAATAAATTGTAAGAAAAAGAAGATTTTACTTTATTATTGTTAAAAATGTTACGTAAATATTATAGCTCAACACATAAAATAAATAGAATACAATTGTGTAATAAATAATTAGACCTGTGTGAGTCATAGAAAATTCTTTCAACTTTAAAAAAAATATTTTGAAAAATTAAAATTAGAATATCTGTTTTTATCAAAACTAAAATTACTTTCATGACTCACGCAGATAATCCAATTGTTTATTCCGCAATCGATTTATTTTGTGACGTATTAAACTATATACCTAACATTAATAAAACAAAATTTTTTTGTTTCTTACATTTTGTTTAATTTAAAAATATATATTTAAATCAGTTCAGTGTAACCGCGCGCATTTTAACGTTATATTTACTTTTGTTCTTTTTTCAGGAGTTTCAATTTTCACAGATTTATCATTTTTTTCAAATTACTTAAAAAAGTGGACATGATGGAGCAAAACGATTTACGAATTCGGATTCAGCTACCTTAAATCTATAGAAACATCTACTCGGATTTGTTTTTCTAAAAATTTTTTTCGTGGTACTGTGGTAATTTGAGCCGAATTCTATTAATCTACATACTGAAATGGAAAACCATGCACTAATTTACTATTAACATAGTATATATATATATATATATATATATATATATATACATATTCGCTTCCGATAATTGCAGTCAGTCTTTAGTTGAAAGAAACAGAAGGTATACAATATTTAAAAACTTCCACACAATTTCTTTATTTTTTTAGAATTTCCAATAAATAAAACAGAACTTTATTACTATAAGTCAGTTTATTATATTCTTTCTATTACGAATCAAAAAACAAATCACAGAAAGTAGAACTTTTCTAGATATTCTTCAGATAACCATAGCAAAACTATGTTGTCTGGATTGTGGCTAAATCACATACTAAATCACTTACGCTTTGACAGAATAAGTATAGAGACCTTTCTTGTAATTTTCTATGTTAGTAATACGATGAACTTTAGTGTTCTCCTGATCGTCGCTTAAATTCTTCAATTTGTATAAACTTTATTTTTAAGATCGTTATCGGCAGTATAATTATATTGCTTTACTAATTTCTCCTTAACAGCATCCTCTTCTGACATTTTTTCCAAAATTACATTGAACGATTTCAAATGTATCTCGATCTGCTGATCCATGTGCTCGGTACATTTATCTGCTTCAACCGTAATAAAATATCCTATAGCTGAAGTTGCACGACAAAAAACTCAATTCGGAATCCCCACTGCATGTGAATATTTATTTCATTAAGATACAAATATATAATTAAATAAAAAATCGGTATTGGTAACTGCAATGTGATGCAACTGTTGATGAAAATTTTTCTCAAAATTTCACATACAATTTTTAAAAATTTTTATGCAAATTTCGTAATTTTTTGAAGTATATAATTAATTTTATAACTTTTTAAAATATTTTTTATATTTTTTAACAAGATTAAACTGCTTTCGGGAGTGTCGAGAAAGTCTAATTATATATACACACAGGTCCGGACAAACACGCATCTGTTTTTAAATTCTTCATTTATATGAATTGTAAGATTTTTACGATTTCTTCAGGACACGGTAGCGGCTCCCATCAAGTATATTTTTGTAGTAATAACATGTATATATATATATATATATATATATTTGTACACATTCTTTTGAAGTTTATTATTCGAACAGACTACTCTAATTCATAAGGAATTTAAGACAATAAGTAATACAAATTTTATATACTTGACGGATGTAGCCCAAATAGCACAGACTCGTGCATCACACCAGGATTCTCTCTCGTCACACTATTTGATTCATTTTCGACGTTCCCTCTGCTGTGACTTTATCGACGATTAGAAAATGGATGTAACTACGTAGTGCCCAATTCGAAAATGAATGTAATGGCGGTAGTGTACGATGAAGTTTAAAGTCACTAGATTTAAAGTCCACAAACTCGCCACTATCCTGACACAAGACTATTCAAACTTATGCATTTGTATAAACATATTTTATTTGAAAAAATGAAGACGTCAATTATGTAAATAAATATTTTTTAAATTATAATTAGTTTATTTATGTGCAAAAAATATGTACGTAATGTACGTTATTTAATTTAATACAAGTTTATTTGTTGTAGAAATTTAATGCATGAAAGTGCACGAAAGATACATGTAGATACAGTTTAGAAAATGAACCATTATACTTGAAATCGTATTATATGCACTTCCGCCATATTGACGCAACACTTCAAAAATCAATTGAGGTATTTCATAAATTTAATGACTTTAATGAGTTTCACATAGATTTCAAAGTAGATTTCAACATAAATTTCAACATGGATTTCAATGTATTATATATTTCAACAACGTAGATTTCAATGTGAATTTCAACATAGATTTTAACGTGAATTTCAACAATGTGGATTTCAATGTGGATTTTAAAATGGATTTCAATGAGGAATTTAATAACGTGGATTTCAATGTAGATTTCAACGCGGATTTCAATTGGTCCCACATTCTCACAAAAAAGCTCTTAGATTTTTCTCTGATACATGTATCTGCATTTTATGTACTTTCGATATTTAAATATGAATTAAGTAGTAATTTAGTTATAATATAAATTAATTAAGTAGTTTAGATAAAATAATTTAGGTAATATAAAATAATGGAGTATAGATTCGAAGATAGAAAACGATACTTATGTAACAAATCGAAAATACAAATATATATATATATCAAGGTTTCCACAGAAAATAAATTTAAAAATTCCCTGACCTTTCCAGGTTTTCCAGATGCATGAAAATGGAAAATTTTCCATGACCAATGTAAAATAAAAGGTAAATTTTGACATTTAGAAGCAAAGATTTAATCTTTGAAATTTAGCTTATATTAATATTAAAATAACGCAAAAGAAACTCAATAAAATAGGTATAATAATTTTTAGTGCAAATTCAATTAAAATATAAAGTTAAGTAAAAATAAATTTGTATTAGAAAAAAGAATGCAGTTATGACGAAAAAAGATGATATAAATTTGACTATAAACGTCAGAAAGTAATACTTAAAAAATTATAACATTATTCGGAATAGGAACAGTTTAAGGGAATTGTCAAAGTTCAAAATTCTAGTCTCTTTTATATTTTCCCCTGACTTCCCAATTTTTTCGATTTTTCCAAGTCTGTGGCAACCCTGATATGCTATCTTTCTCTTCCCAAACAATTAATGCACATGTGGCTGAAATAGTCCAATGCTTTGGTTATAACAGTGAGTCTAAATTTAACTTCTTGTCATTAAATCTTTCCTGTTTGCTCGTAATAAAGGTAATAAGTTCAAGCTAATTAATATTTATTTATAGATCGATAAAATATATTATTATATTATAATATCGACATATTATTATATTGATAAAACGTAAACAAAATTTCATTACGTGACATTACTGATACTTTTTTCTTTTTTATTTTAATTTTTTAAATCAACTTTTCGTACGATTAGCCGAGGTTGAGATCTTAACAAGGATTCTCGAAAAATATCGCATATACTAAAGAAAAATACTAGAAAAATCTATATATACGTAACGTATGTCTTGTATTTTTGTACAAACATATAGGGTCATTTAAAAAGTATCCGCGGTTTTTTCATTCATCAAAAATTGAACAAAAAACCGCGGATACTTTTTAAATGACCTAATACATTATCATATGTGATATTTTTTGAAAATTTTCGATCAGCTGATCCTCGTTTCACGTGATTTCACGATATTTCACGATTTTCATATCGTGAATCGTTTAAATCTCTATAAATATAAATGAACTCATCTGAATTGTTTACATTTAATCTAAAAATACATTTCTGACATAACAAGGACATAAATGCAATCTAATTGGGACGTGAGGAATTGACCGTGCGTTTTGATGCGCATTTCTTGATTACTCCACTCAAGCTTTTAGTGCTTAACCTCAATACTGTACCGTACATTCTGGTGCAGATTCAGAGGGAATTATCTGACACAATTTCCGATTCTGATAAGTATGAGTTTATTCATATAGAATTGTTGTAAGCGTAATTTCAGTATTTCACTGCCAAATCAGTACCTTCAGTGGCAATTTATACCATGCTTTTAATCAGCGACCCATTTTACATTTGACTTAAATACGAAGATCGCAATGCAGTTTATTTATCGTGTTCTAGGTTATGGGTTGTAGACTAAATGGTATAAACTAGATCAATATAGGATAAATTTAAGCAATAGGGCATGTATTATGAAATTATTCAAAATGAACTTTGATCGGAATTATTCCGTTTTCCATAGAACACACTACAACTCTAGAAAGTAATTGAATAATTCCAATCAGATTCCATTTCGATCATAATTACATCATACATACCAGATATCAAAGTATTTGGAATGATTGATAGAAATGTACTGATTTATCTTACTGTTTTTTTCAGCTGAATTTTTTGCATAATTCATCTTTCATTTTTTTCTCTCTACATTGGAGAAAAAAAAAGAAAAATGATGCAAGAAATTCAGCTGAAAGGAGTAGTCTTACAGTATTAATTGCTTTATTCATTTTTTGTTATTAATAATATTTATTATTGGCAATTCCAGGAAAGTAATTAACTTCTGCAATCTAGACGTTTTCTTGCTGATATATAATTGCTGTGCAAAGTTGACCAGCAATCTTAATAGGGTGATCAAAATATGGCTCATCCAATTTTGCCTAATGATCTTAAAGCAGAAGAAATTATTGAGGAAAATGAACTTTCATTTAAATTAGATGAACCTATTACCATGGCTCTAAATGTAAATTCACTGACTAACATCGATGAAGAAGACAGCCTATCTTTTGTAGTGCTTGGTCGAGATTCAGTGGAGGCTCAAGCTTCTTTATTAGCTTCGTATACCGATCTTCAACAGAAGAGCATGTCAATTGTACATGCATCACAATTCTACTTTATTTCATGATTCACCATTTACTTTAAAGTAGAAAATTAATGTCTTTTTTCTTACAGGATTATAAATCACTGGTGTCGTCAATGACCGTAACTGCGATGCAAGACAGATTAGTAGAAGTGTTGCAAGAAAATGTAAAATTGAAGGAAACTTTAAGGCAGACCAATGTATCCATGAAACAACATTTTAATACCCTGACAATGTGGCAGGAAGAAGTGACGAAAGTTCATCTGAGTCACAAGCAACAATTTGCAGAAACTAAAGAACTTATAAATCATCTGAAAAAGGAAAATGCAGAGCTGAAATATAAATTTTCACGTTTACAACATTTTGAAAATATGAGACTTAAGGTATATATACACAGAAAATTACATACACAAGTAATAATTATATTTTGCAAGTATTTCAAAAGTTCATATATCTGCAAATCTATCATAGGTTCATCAAATCTATTCAAAATATATTCTGAATTCTAGTAAGTTTACTATTTTAATCAAGATTATTAAATTAAAACAAATTCGATTTGCTTATTATACAGTTGCTATTTCGATCAATTTTAATATTCTTCAAAAGAAAATTAATTCTTATTTTAAGTAATAGTAAGTATATAAATTAATTTATATTTAATTAATTAAAATAGTATTAGGTGTTGGAATTAATTCGTAGCGTTTTTTAATGAAAGAATGTTATTTATTTCACATGAGCATTAAAAAATACATTAATGAAAGTACTTCCCATCACTTGTAAAACGCTACGAATTAATTCCAACACCTAATAAAATAGTGTTTCAAGATTCGTGGCAAGTATATTTTAAAATTATCAAAAAAATATATTCTTTATTAAAAATAACTGTTACTTTTAAAGGGAAGAAATTAAATAAAGTAATTATTTTTCTTAACAATAGAATAACATTTTTCTGTGTGTAGAGATATTGTACATAATTCTATAATTCTATCGTTCATTTAATTTTTTTCAGATTAGTAGATCTGTTTCTGAGGATTGGGCCAATTTGATTTCTAATAAAAAACTAAAAGAATCCTTTTTCATATTCGATACATTCAAGGACATTTCCGAACTTGTACCTGAAATATCTAACCTAACAATCAAAAGGTGTAAACAATATATAACATCTATAATATCGGAGAAATTGGATGAAAAATTGGAGAGATTGAAAGAGGGATTACAACAAGAATTGCCGCAATTAGAAACGGAAAAAGAATTAGAATTCGAATCAGCGATGATAGATGACAGGATAAAACAAAAATTGCAGCAATTAGAAACGGAAAAAGAATTAGAATCGGCGATGATAGATAACAGAATAAATTGCAAACTTTACAATGATGTAAAGACCACAGAAAGTTCGAAATGTTCGGAAGCATACTCTGAAAAGGATCAGGAAATTGCTTGCTTAAAAGAATCTAATGCTCTACTCGAACAGAAATTGCAATGTGTATGTTTCTTTAAAAAGTTTGCTAAATATCTTAACAATTAAATTCAGAAATAAAATCGAATTATCTTTTAAATTTTGCAGGTTCTTACTCCTGTGGAACAAGTTTCATTGGAAACGTCCAATTTAAGTCATCAAAAATTTGTACAAAATATAAAGCAGTATAATGATATGTTACAAGAATTAACCAAATGTTTTGTAGAACAAGTAGAACGTTTTGCTGCCTTAGAAAAAAGTTTAAAGAAAATTACGGATATACTTAGACTTGACGATAAAATGCAGTGTGAAGAAAAATTATGTCAGTATTACAATGAATTAACTGATGAGCAAATAAAAATTATTACTGATAGGCAGACGTTAATAAAATCACAAAACCAATTCCAAAAGATATTCTCTGATTACAACTCTGTTCTATATGAATTGCAAGTAATGCTCGACGAAAACGTAAAATTAAACATTTTAAAGGATAATAGCGCTCGCGAGAATTTAGAAACGTCAGAGCAACTGGAACGCGACAAGCAATCATTGGAACAAGAAAAGAAAATTTTCGATCGAGAAAAGGACAATCTAGAAAATCAACAAAAATCCTTCGAAAGCCAGAAAAAGAGTTTGGACGTAGAACGTGTATTTTTGCAAGACGAGAGAAAACTTTTAGAGCAAGAAAAGATCAGTTTAAATGAAGAAAAAATGTCACTTGATCATCAGAGTCAGTTATATGAAGATTGCGAAAGAGATCTACAAAATGAAAAAAAAATATTACAAGCTCGTAATGAACTATTGCTGAGTGAAACAAATAGCTTGCGACAACAAATTGAGGAGAAAAATGCGCAGTTTAAAAAGATAATAGAACAGCTTGCACAAAGCGTGAGTGAAGTTTTTCTTAATGTAAACTAACATTAAAAATATTTTTGTAAATTCTATATCAATTTTATATCATATCTTAAATTTGATTTATTTTTATTATATTACTGTTTTATGATTATTTTATTACTGTGTTTTTTTTTTATAGATGGAAGAGATACAATTGTTAAGATCACAATTATCGCTTTACGAAGAAGACTTTCAACAGGAGAAGAAACTAAAAGAAGCATTGTTAGAAGAAAAGAGTAAATTGGACACGGAATTGCTGAAGCAAATAGAGTTTAACAAACAGTTACAAGAATCTAACAACGCTAATGTTAAGTTAGGACACATGTTTGAAGAACGAGTAAGTAATTCTTTAAATTCATTTACCGTGACGTTTTATCTAAAAATAAAAATGACCGTTTCCTGCTTTTTATTACAATTAGAACGGTGACAAATACAATGGGCATGCAAGAGGTGGCAACGCCACTGTACAAGAGAAGCGGTCGAATAATCGAAATTATTTTTGTTTATTTTCAATGAAATAGTGAATAACATAATTACACATTTATTCAAATTCCTTTTGGAAATTTTGCTATACGCGCAAACATATAAATAAGTTTTATTTCTGTCGCACTGTTTCTCTGTAGTTCTGTAGTATACTTTCGATGTATATCGTATTGGCATTGCTAAGTTGGTTGCTTTAATCTTGGATTATTCTCTTTTGTTTTCTTCTCATTCTCTCTGTCCTTTTAAGGATACAATTGCGCTTTTTACTAAATTATAAGCTATATGTATATAGTCAACAATATTACTCAAAGTAATTAGTATACTATTATATGTATGATTTAGTAGATATACCAAATTTTAAAATTTTTATAAATTTTTTCTTAAATTTTTCTTATAATTATAATAAAGTATAATTTTAATAATTTTAATAATTGAGTAAATCTATTCATATAAATATAGTGTTTTAATTTTTTTTAATTGAAATATATTTTACATAATTTTTCATAAATACTCCTGATTATTCTGAGAAATATGGTTATTATTATGTTGTATTATAAACAGATATTGATAATAATCCAAGATTCAAGTTCATCAGTGCCTTTTTTCAAATGGCATTTTGCATTAACATTGGTTATAAATTGCAGAATGTAAGAAAATTAATTATTATATATAATATGCATTTTAATTTGATAGAAAGAACAAGAATTTTAATACGTAATTCCTATCTTTATTTTTTCTTATTTCAGTATTATTCAGTTGATGTTTGTATACGATTATTGTATACGATTATTTTATTTTATTACTTATAAGATACATGAAATGACATACATTGAATATCGTATTACGCGAACAGAATCTACAGAAACTGCTCAACATTTGTCACAGCTCTATACATTTTTTTTACTTTCTTATTTAAATGATTGCTTTAATGTGTTTCTTAATATGCGATGTGATATCGCACAACAAAATAGGACATAACACTATATGTTATAAGTTTATTTTTAATCAAAGTAACTGAATACATTAGATTGAAAACAATTGTGCTCCAAATCTAAACTAACATATATCATAACTTGATTGCAGAACTTTATGCGATGTCCAAAATGCTTGATGGTATGTCGAAATTCATCAGATTTGTTAACGCATATTAACAGATGTGAATATGCCTTAACTTAACATAACATAAATTTATAAGAAATCATATAGGTATGTACACTCTTATACAAGAAGAGTGTACATATAAGAGTGTACTTCATATTAGCACAGATATTGATATGTGGTACTTCTTACATTATACAATTTCTCTTAATATAACAATAATTTTACGTAGTAAACAGCTTCTAAAATGTAAGAGATATATAATATTTAATACTTAAGAATGTATACTTACATAATAATTAATGATGCTAAAAACGTGTTTTAAATCTAGTTTTAGTAAGACTGAACAACAAAATACATATACAAATTTTATTTTTTTAAATATTCACTTGTAATTAGAATTAATGTGGGAACGTAATTCAAAAATGTATTGAGATATTTTTCGATGTTTCTCATTTGACATCAGTTATGTCTATTTTAATAATTGATATGCTTTGTAAGTGCCAAAGAAAATTTTTTTTAACGTAAAAACTATTACAACAGCAAGTGTAATTAAAGTTTTATGTCAGGATATTAATTTTACATTATCTTTGTATATTGCACACGCATTATCTGTACGCAACTGTTAGCTACCTCATGTAATAGTACTATGAATAAACAATAAATAGTTTTGAAGAAAACGTGTTCTCGATGAAAATGAAACTATTCTTCCAAAACACCTATAACATATCTATTTGTGCATAATTCTAGATGTAGCTAATGATAGGTATATATACACCAAGCACGTCTCGCTTGAATACGTTTATACTGATTTACTACAAACACTTTAAAAAAAAAAATCCTCGTCCCTAGCTCTTATTTATTTCCACTGCCTCGGAATGCGTTCACGCTTGTACGATAACAAAGACGAGGCTGGGTGATGTGACTTGGACCATGGTCACTGTAGCTCCGCTCCAAGTCCCTCGTAGCAAGGAGGAAGGGGCAGAAGAAAAAGAGGTGATGCCTGACCTTGGCTGGAGGAGCCGCGGTCAACGATTCTTTCCCGCGTGCTGGTCAGAGAAGACGCATGTCTTTTTGCGCTATACGATCATTGCATTCGCCATCCTTCCATCTTTTCACAAATTGGTCGGGACCGATCGCGGAGGGACACACATCACGACGACGACAACGACGACGACGACGACGACGGCGGTAGTTGCAACGAGCCTGCTCAAGGCAGGCCGGTCGCACGTCCTTAAAAATTCTTTACAGCCGACGAGCGGACACCCGTTTGATGCACTCGTGGGGATATCACATCGAGTTCGTGATTTTTGTAAGTGGATAGAATGCGATCGAGTTCCCCGGATTCAGCTGGTAGTCGTAAGAGGGGTGACTATATGAAAATGAATGAATTCGAAAAAGAAAAACTAGTTAAAATAAACTAGTATTGATTTTTGTACAATTGAAAAAATTTCGAGTAATATTGCTTATTTGCTAAAATTAAAAAATTTTTTAATTGTTTTTTTAAATGCCATAAAATAAAAAAGAATGGAAAGAAAAAAAGAAAGAACGTGCTTTAAAAGAACATATTTTTATTTCTTTATAATCAGTTATTGCACAAAAATTACGTTTTAAAATTAATATTACAAAATTTTAATTATTCAAAATATTTAAACTTATTTTTTGAAAAACTTTGTTTTTATACTATTTTTTTACTATTTTTACTTTATTTTTTTGTTATAACAAATGAGAATATAAACCTAGGATCTCTATAACTTATTAATTGAACTTTATATTTTGGAACTAGATGTTTCTTGCAAAATATATGTAATAAAAATTCAAACTGTTTGCATTTTATATTTTCAAAGCTTTAATAATTCAATTTTATTTCATTATTCAATTTCTGCTAATTTATTTTATTAAGTTATGAAAAATATGGAGATTGTTGCAGAAAAAAAATGTACAGCTCTGAATCGAATGCTAATTGCAGAGATAAATGATCAGTACGAGAAATCATCACTTAATGGATGACTGATAGATTAATAAGTAGACATTGATGATCAGCGGTGCACTCCTTAGAGTACCTTCTAATTTACATTTTCTCGGCGATAGAAAAGAGCAGCACGCGTTCGTTAATTAAAGTGACGAGCGGAAATGCGGGCGACAGCACCATCTTTTAATGGCGTAGCATCCAGGGAATCGATAATATCTCCCATAATTGCAAGATATATATGCATAGATTTTTTTCCTTATAAGACCGGTTGATCAAGGTTCAATTAAATCCCTCGAATTAATCCTATTATTAGCATACGAGAAAAAAATATAAAGTATTGATAAAAAGTTTTTTAATTATAGAATTTTCTTAAAAGTTCTAAAAATATGTGACATAAAGCAGAAAGCTTTTAGTATCTCTACAGATTTTCTTTCACAGAATGCGTTTCAATTCTGCTATTGAGATAATAGATATTCTTTTTAACAAGAGACAAATGATACAATGTAACAGTGAACTGTTTAATTTTTGTTTAATTGGCAAATAAGGATGTAATAATTTAATGTGTTACACTGTGTCATCTGTATCTTACTAGAAAGCATCCAATTAGAAACAAATAATTTTTACACCAATCACAGAAGGGAGAGCAGAGATATTTTGAATTTGAAATATCAATCTATTTGAAATATATATATATATATATCTTCTCTCCCTTCTATAATTAGTGTAAAAATTATTTGTTAGAGCAAATATACTTTCTGTAAATACAAAAATCATAAAAAACATATAATAAATCTGTTGTATTATTTAATTTATCTGTTGTACACTTACATCTAAATATATGAATATTTAATGCGCGAATAGTTTGTTTAAGCTATCATGATGCCTTAATTGTTCTCAAGTGCAAAGTACACAGTAAGATAATTTTAAAAATTATATGACACGAACGTCAAATCAAAATGTTCTTGAAATGTTTACTATTCACATTACGTGCAATTCTCTTTACGCAACACGTGTAAGAATTTTTACTCCATTACATGTATAATTTTATGTCTTTTTTAACAATTCTGCATACTTTTAAAACGTGACCATCAAATTCGCGATGGTTGAGTCTGCCTCGACTAAATTTTCAGTTTAAGAGCCGGTTTTATGATAAAAATGTAAATATAACAAACACATTTACAGCTTTATAAGAAAAAAGTACTTAATATTGACATCACAGCAATGCTATTATTTATATTATAATCGATAATTTATAAATCTTTTTTTAAAAGATATAGAAAAATAACAGGACAGGCAGAAGTCCGACCTTCATCATTTAAATAAAGCGTAAAAATATCGCGCAACTTCTAGGTCAAGAGCATTATCAAATTAACACTATTATACGCCGAAAATGATCTTGAAACTTAATAGTTTCAGCACAAATTTAGAGTACGAAGTATTATCTTCAATTTTTTATATTAATTCCAATATTAATTAGAAATATTATATTATTAGGTGTTGGAATTAATTCGTAGCGTTTTTAATGAAAGAATGTTATTTATTTCACATGAGCATTAAAAAATACATTAATGAAAGTACTTCCCATCACTTGTAAAACGCTACGAATTAATTCCAACACCTAATATTATAACATTTGTTAATATATTATAAATATTTTCTCGATATTAATGTAAACATGTTTTAATTGCTAATGTTAAAAAAATAATTGTGAAAATTTTTCTATAACTAGATCGTATGTTATGTTTAATAAATGATTATTTATTTATTTATATATATTAGGTGTTGGAATTAATTCGTAGCGTTTTTAAATGAAAGAATGTTATTTATTTCACATGAGCATTAAAAAATACATTAATGAAAGTACTTCCCATCACTTGTAAAACGCTACGAATTAATTCTAACACCTAATATATATATATAGATGTTATATCAATTAAGAATGTGTCAGATGTGTTTGACGTTGCTTAATAATAATGACGATGATTAATCACGCTACTCATTGACTCAGCGTTTTTAATTCAAATCGCGGTCTGCCATTTTTTGCGTATAAGAACGATGCATTCCAAGAATTATGATCTTCAGATCGTTGGTCATTATCATCCCCCTAACGTAAATGACTCTTCGAAAAGATCTGACGAAATGTAGTTACAGTTCTGTATCGAAAACACCTTCTCAGAATTTCTTCTCTATTATATGAAGCGATACCGAGAAGTATTATTAAACATAATTAGACGCGTGCTAATTAAATTATGTGTGTAAATATGCCACGTTTTTCTCATGTAAACTCGATACGAATGATTAATTATTTCTTTGTGCGAATGTGATATGTAATTGCGTCATCGAAAATCGCGATAAAATCTTCCAAAAGAAAGATATGCTATTTAAATGTATGCATTCTCGCTTGCTTTTTGTGAGAAACTGAAAACAATGGAATGTTTAATAAATTTTAATGGATCAAAATAGCGTGGCTTTTTTATGTCAGACACATTCAATATTCATTTCTGATGTCAACAAAACAAAAATTAAATATTAAATGTATTAATTTGGAACATTATGTAAAAAATTTCAACCATTTTAACGCCAGCCGTGCATCTCAATGCTAAAGAAATATTCTTCATTTAATCTTCAAACAAGTCTTTTATCTCCAAACATCAATTAACAGTAACATAACATCAATGTAGACATAATATGATACAATACAATAATATGTTGCGTACAATTACATTGTTGAATCTAAATCTATAACATGATATTACTGTTAGTTGGTGTTCAGTAGGATTTTCATTCATCTTTAATGTTAAGAAGTTAGTCAGAATTTTATTAAGAATGTTTTGGTTGTACAATATTTTAGTATCAGCTAAAAAGTCAATATCAATTAATATAAGCTAACAAATGTCATAAATACTCTGAAATCAACTGCTAAAAAAGCAAAATAAATAATTTGATTTATAATAATTTTATACATTAAGTGCTCATATTTTATTGTAGTTTTAAGTAATAACTTTAATTGATATTATAATTATCAATATCTTTAATTGTTTTTATATGAAATGTGATAATGTATTCTTCTTTTCGTCAATTTCCACTGAAAGAGGACGCGATGGCTGAACTTATCGGCCGATATTGATAAATTGTTAAGTTATTAAACATAATTATTAAACATTACAGAAATTAAATAAAATATTATATACGTTAAGTAAAACATTATGTGCATTTCTTGCTGTATATCGCATAAATGCAAGATTACATCACTTCGCTCAGATCAATTTCCATTTATTTCTCTTGTAAACTTAATTCAAAATCATAATTTGAAGGTCTCATTATATTCTTATACATTATTCAAACATAGGAAACTACTTTTTGTTTAGATATATACTTAGAACCATTTGTATATCATTTCAAAAAATAATCTACGTGATAATAATAACAGAGGAACTAATTTTAAATTTTTTTACTTTTTATCCAGATTTGTGATTTCCCCACTTTTCCCCAGCTTTTTGCGCTTTTTTCCTTTATTCTGGAGAAGGTGCTTTTTTATAAGAAAAATAAAAAAATAGAAAATGCACGTTACAAACAACGCCAGCATCCCCTTAATGTCCTTAATAAGGAATGTTTCGATATTTCATATCTCTCGTCAGGGAAAAATGAAGATGTATAACATCACAACGAGACAGGTTGATTCGAGGGGAATACCTGCGAAAATTATCG